TAGAGAAACTAAATGAATCTTTGATGAAAGCCCACAATACACATGTGGGCCCAGATGATATCTATTACGAATTCATAAAACAGTTACTCAACAAAACATTACAAATGTTATGAAAAATATATAATATCATATGGACAAATGACAACTTCCCGGAAATGTGAAGAGAGTCATGCATCATACCTATTTTAAAAGCTGGAAGGGATGACACGGACCCTGAAAAATACCAACCAAAATCATTAACCAGATGCCTATTGAAAACTATGGAGAGAAAGATCAACAACAGGCTGACTTGGTACGCAAACTTTCAATGTGCTTTTAAGAAGGACCATTTAATACGCCTAAAAACCTTTCTAAGAAAAAAACTTTCATTAAGAAGAATCATTTCACGGCAGTCTTTTTTGACTTACAAAAGGCGTACGACACGACACAGAAAAAAAATTGCTTCGTTAAAGTATCTTGTATCATTGATAAAAATAAAATTAAATAAATCTCTATCTATAAAAGGCAGGATGTGTGTGTGTGTGTGTGTGTGTGTGTGTGTGTGTGTGTGTAACGAATGCACGGTCTCAATTTTCGACGGATTTGCAACAAAATTTACATGCACATGATCCAAGTTAGCGGCAAGGCCAAGACCGACTTTGCATTTCCCAACTCCCATCGATGGTGGAAATAATTTTTTCATGCTTCTACGGCAGTTTTCATGTAGTTTGCGGCCATTTTCTACTGGCCACAGTGAGATCCTATAGCTGGCTGCCACGAATAGGCAGGAAGATTCTATTGGCCAGCATGAGAGCCAACAGCTGACTGACACGAATGTTAACTAGCATGCTAGCATGCAAAAAAATCGATAGCTGCATTCGTCACAAGTGGCAAAAATTTAAATCTGCATGGCACTTTACTCCAATTGGCTCATTCGCTTGCTTAAACTCAACGTTGATTCTGATTCCGCAGAACTGGGATGGGTGTGAAAAAGTATTTGTTGTTAACATTCTTTTTTTATTCGGTTTTTCCAGTTACGAGTCCTTTTTTTGAAGCTGATCGTTTTGTGTTCATTTTGTTTAGTTCTTTTTTCGTAACAGATTTAATGTTTAGTATAGAGCTTAGAAAAAATTCGCAGTGTGAGATAGGCAAGAAGTAAGGCATGTAGCAACATCAGCACGGCAAAGGGTACTCCTTTAAAAGCAAGGAAGGGCAAAAATATTTTAAGTCAAGTGATAGCAATTACTGTATGAGTCGTACGATTTTTGAATCAAGCACGGGCAACGCCGGGCCATACTGCTAGTCACTTCTAAACTTTTTGTTCTCGCTCTCCTATAATTTCTGTATGTGGCCTGCTTTACTAAATTAATATGGGAACATTGTGGGATGCGAATAAAATAATAAAACCTGCGTCCGAATGATGAAGTACCGGCTGACAAGCGACATTGCACATTTAGGTAATAACGATAGATAGGCTTTTTACATTGGCGTCCTGGGTATGACGATAAACTACATCTGGCAGCATGGGCTCTGATCGGGAGGTTTTGAGGACCATGGAACAAACGCTTAATTGCTGTTGTTCTCAGGTTTGATCTGACCTGAGCTGTTAACACTTGTTCGGGTCCCAACTATGAGCAACTATTTAAACCCCGCGCTTCTAACTAGGGTGAAAGTACTATGAAACTTTAAAAATAGATTTTTATAGTAAAAATACCAGCAATACATTTTTATATTTTAAAAAATTACCAGCAATACATTTTTGTAAAAGAAATTATTAATTGTCCCAAGTAAGTTAAATTCCGGCATTGAATGACCCATGAGGGGTCGATATGCCGCTAAGCAAACAAAAAACAAACAAATTGGTTTCGCCTGCTTGGTCTCACGCTGTTTGCTGACAAGTTGAATAAATATATTGAATCAATTGCTTTATCTACTGCAAGGAAATTTGGTTCTCTGTGTCATACCAGACTCGTCTGAGTCTATCCTTCAAATCTATAAATCAACCATTTGTCCTTGCATGGAATATTGCTCTCATATATGGTCTTGTGCCCCCGCTGTACATCTCGTGGTCCTCGACAAAATCCAGAGACGAATATGCAATATGTTAGGTCCTGATCTGGCACCTAGTTTACAATCGCTTTCGCACAGACGTATGGCCTCCCTCTGTCTCTTCTACAAGCATTTTCACGGCAAATGTTCCGACGTGAGACATTCGCTGGTTTTCGGACTGCATGAATTTAAGCGAGTTGCCAGCCTGGCATCTCGGTGCCACCCTTTCACTGTCAAAACGGTTAACGTCACTTCTAAAACAGCATCTTCTCTCGGACTTTCCGTCTGTGGAACTCCCTTCCTCTTGCTTGCTTCCTCGATAAATATAATCATCAAATATTCAAGTGTAATGTCAATCGACATACCTTGATCTCGTTCTCCGTCCTCCTCTGTATTTTTTTTCCTTAAACACGCCTCTTTACTCTTGTTCTCAAACCATTGTGTGATAGTTGAACTCCCGCCTAGCTTGGTGTGAATTGTTTTTAAAAATATCTTTCAACGTAGGTTGCTATTCGTGATATAGATAGGATAGACTGGTGACGTTGCGTTTGTGGGAACGAGCGACATGTTTGCGACGTTGCATGCCTGAGAATTTGTTATACCAGAACATTACCTATTCTATTGTAATAGACTCTACCACACATAATAAGTACTAGTAGTAGTAGCGGTCGCCAGTTGGGCTCAGTGGTGTTGAGTGAGTCAGTTGATGTTGGACATTGAAGTATCAACCACCACAACTAGAATGCTGCGTCATTAATTATTATTGCAAGTGCCTAACGTTTTGTACGTCGAACCTAATTTAGGACCGACTTAGTGAAATACAAGCCTCCACTGTGAAAACTACTCTACAACAGAATTGGAGATAAAATTGCAACGAGCTTTGCGAATGAATTGTTTTATATAGTTAAATATAAAAAGTAAAGGCTGCTTTTCAGTTTTTTTTTTTTTTTTTTTTTTTTCAAAATTGTTTCAATTTTTTTTTCAAAAGGTTTTAAATGAGTTATGATCTCATTTCTTTGACGCAAAAATCAGTTTCCGTGATCGATAAAACATCAGTTCTGGTGTTCAAGAGACATTCTCTTTTAATGTTTCGAAAAAAAGCACCAGTTCCCGTACGGCCACCGAAGTTAAGCAACGGCCAGATGGGTGGACGTTTGGGAAGACAAGGTACGCTAAACTTGGACGTACGGGTGGTGGAATAGATAACGGCTCAGAATTGAAAATCGGAGACCCGAATTCAATTTCCATTTGGATTCTTTATATTCACTTACGCTTAAATATCCTTGGGAAAGGTATGAATCCACATCTTCTCTCCTCAGCTATGGGTTAATTAGTTAATTAGTGAACCAGTATTATCTTTAAAAACTAAAATTGCGCACAAAATATTTAGATTTCCGTATTAAATAGACCATGGGGTGCTGATATGCCACATAATAAAAACAACAATCTACAAACATATTTAAAAAATATATATTTAAGAGTCATGAAGTCAACTGGATTGAAAATCAATCTTGTTATAAACGTGACATAAATGAAGAACACATTGGATAAAAGGTTGTGTACAAACCTACAAAGATGGTAATAGTAATCCTAACAGTTTTGGGATTAATAGGAACGCCGTTTAGAATTTGGATTAGCTCTTCAGAGCAAACGGATTCGAAATATTAAAGTGTGTTTGAAGCATAAAAAAAATGTTAGCCATTTCTTTTGCATGTCGTCCCTTAGGAAATGAGTAGTGAAATAGGCACCGGTAATATTGAATGTCTCTGAAATGATGCTTTATCTGAAATGGCCCGTCATATAAGGCTTCCGAGAAGTGCCATCTCTCGGGTTATAAAATGCTGCGTGAAGTAGACAATAAAGTGTGGCAATTGTCACAATCAATTCACATCTGAGCATGACATACTATCTATCTATCTATCTATCTATCTATCTATCTATCTATCTATCTGAGTCTCTTCATCCATCCATCTATCTATCTATCTATCTATCTATCTATCTATCTATCTATCTCAGTATCCTTATCTATCAATTTTTATATTTGAGTCCCTTTATCTATGACAGTATCTATCTATCTATCTATCGTTTATATATATATATATATATATATATATATATATATATATATATATATATCAAATTGATTATTTAGGTAGCAATCCCTATTTTTACATGATTGCTCACCGTGTGGAGAGGTAGTGAGCATACTGAACGGAAACTTTTTAGAAAGACGGCACTCAGCTAAAGATCGCAGCTGGTCTGGAGCACTTGGTGCTATATATATATATATATATATATATATATATATATATATATATATATATATATATATATATATATAATTGAGTATTTCGGTATCAAATCCTGTTTCATACAAGTTACATTAAAATCGACAGAAAGATACTAAGTATAAGGATTTTATTTCATTTTTCTTTAAAAACATATAAATGACAGTAAAATCGACGGCCCAATCGTTTAAGGCACGTCAGTCTATTTGACGGCTCCGTATAGGATTCAGGTTCGATTCCTGTCGGAGGATGCATATTTTCTATGAAAATTTCTTGGACATTCAGGCCGGTAAATGTTGTTTATTATAAAGAGAGCATTAACTGATATATTTGTATGTATAAACATAAAAATGACTTTTTATTTTTTATTTTATATATATATATATATATATATATATTACTTCACCATTATTTTTAGATGAACTAATATTTCTGTTTTTATTTGTCCATGTGTTTTCATCCATATGTGAATCATTTTTAAGAAAGACGTGCTGAGTCATCGACAAAATTGTCTTTTATTCTTTAGTAAGCTGAAAGTTTAAAACAGTTCACGGAACGTCATGTGTAATGGTTAACGGGATCGAGACGACAGAAAAAGTAAAGTTTCTTTTTGTTTATTTAGGCATATTAAATATTTTATACACACTTCAACATGCCATCATTTCTGGAACATTTAATTTGAATTCGTTATTTTTTATAATAATAGCTTCTAGGATTTTGCCACTTTCCTTGCATCGGGTGTTGTAGAGTAATTTAGTATTATCCATTAATATTCGTATGTTCATAGTTGTAGTTTGGTTGCTCGTGGTCTATTTGTGCAGGGGTTGCACAGAGTTTAGACAGGTGACAAGTGCTGTCGATATGCAATTTTAAGGAAAATGGGAATAAAAAGGACACTTGTATTTAGAATCAGACAGAGAAAGTGAACATTTCTAGGATACATAATAAAAAGGAGGAAAAAGCTATTAGCTTGCCTAATAAACTTGTGTAAAGGTGTGGAAGATCAGGGTCGATTGTTGGGTCGATTGAAAAGGAAGCACACGTAATTTAGAAGTTCAAGAGAGATGTAATTTTGCAAACCCGTGATCAGCATCGTCCTGAAGGGACACGACACATGAGAAAGAATAGTGATTCTCATGAAGTGTATTATTCACGAATTAAACACAGATACACACACGCGCACACACACACACACACATATATATATATATGGTATTCATAAAGTTCGTGTGCACTTTAAAAAAATTATAACTTTATTTGTATTTGCGATAGAAATAATTTGTAAAAAGGATTAGAAAGAAGTAAATCTATATTTTTTGAGGTTTTATTGAAATTTTATTTAAGTTTCCACATGTCCTCCATCATTAGCAATACAAAAGGTAATATGATTTTGCCGTTCACGGAAAACATTTGCCAGCTAATGTACAGTAATGCCTGAAATCACATTAGTTAATTTAGTTATACTTAAAGCTAGGTACATTAAACTTTATAACATTTTTTACAGATTATTTCTATCGCAAATATAAATAAAGTGAGAAATTTTTAAAGTGCACACAAACTTTATGAACACCCTGTATATGTGTGTTATGGTAATTTACCCACGAATGTATGGACTCTCCCAGCTATAAATAGGTACTGCCTTTTGGAGAGAAAACTTTACCACAGTCAGCTCTGACAGTCGGACCGAACATTCGTGCCGTAACACTCTCATATGTATATGTATTTCTTTTTTGTCTTCTTTTTCTTCCTCTTCTTCTTCTTCATCATCATCATCTATTTCCGACTTCTTCGTCGTCTTCTTCTTTTCCTTCTTCTTCTTCTTTTACTTCTTCTTCTTATTCTTCTTTTTCGTCTTCTTTTTTTTCCTTTTTTGTCTTCTTCCTCTTCTTTTCAGTCTTCTTCGCCTGGTCCTCTTCTTCCTCATCGTCTTCTTATTCTTCTGCTTCGCCTTTTCTTCGTCTTCTATTCATTCTTCGTAATCGTCTTCTTTTTATTCCTTTTCTTCGTCTTCTTCATCTTCTTCTTTTCCTTCTTCTTCTTCAACTTCTTCTTCGTCTTCTTTTTCTCCTTTTTTGTCTTCTTCCTCTTCTTTTCCGTCTTCTTCTTCTTTGCTTTGTCTTCTTATTCCTCAACGTCTTCTTCTTCGCCTTTTCTTCGTCTTCTATTCATTCTTCGTAATCGTCTTCTTTTTATTCCTTTTCTTCGTCTTCTTCATCTTTTCTTTCTTTTCCTTCTTCTTCTTCTTTTCTTCTTCTTCTTTTTTTCTAATTTTTTTTTGTCTTTTTTTCTCGTCTTCTTTTCCATTTTTCTTCTTCTTTTTGCCTTCGTCTTCTTTTTTATTCTTTTTTGTCTCATCGTCTTCTTCTTCGCCTTTTCTTCGTCTTCTATTTATTCTTCGTCTTCTATTTATTATTCGTCTTCTTCTTCTTCGACATCGTTTCTTCTTATTTTTCTTCTTCTTCTTCTTCTTCTTCTTCTTCTTCTTTACTCAGACACACAAAGGTAGGAGTGCTGAAAATTAACTTCCTAAAATTTGTTCAATCCAAACAGTTCTCATTGAAATCCCTTCGTTGTCGGGCTGAGACCGTTTTTTAACAATGCCTCTTCTCTATACGACTAGTGTGCGTACATGTACGGTCCACTACTGGCAAATCCTTGCCTGCTTTGGAGCTATTATATACAACCAGTCGTCCTGCATAGCCAGATGCACGCCGGCGACACCAAAGACGTAATCAATTTCCTTGTCTCTTTAACCTGGCCGCTCCGCCGACTCCGGTTCTCTTACGTCGTCAATAACACGAAAATCAATAACACGAAAATCAAACCAATCTTCTATCTCCTCTTACCGATCTTATATCATCGCCTGTCACCATTCTGATTTCTGACACCCTTCCAACACCACAAGTCATACTCTGAAGTTTTAGATACACCGAGCACAGTGTACACAGAGTCATCTGCAAGCACGCACATGAAGAGGCAAGTAGAGAATACAGAGAACTATTAGAAAATTTCGTAAAAAAAAACTGTTTAAGATGAGCAAAAACAAATAAACACTATTAAAGTTTGATGTGTAAATGATGACGCTTTAATTTGTTACATAACAATTTTGAAGGGAGTAATTTAGCTGAAAATAAATGCTTTTGACTAAAGAATTACATCCCAACATCCATGTGTTTTTGTTTGTTTTTTTGGTTTTTTTTTCCCTAAAATTAACTCAGGCAGGCAACAAAGTTATTTTCATAAAAAGACATAAATATATGTTAAATAAAAATCAGCCAACGGATAAATGTTTATATATATTTTAAAAGAGTGTTTTTTTATATATATATTTATTAAAGACATTTTTATTTATGTTTAACGTTGTTATTTTATAGATACAAGTATTTAAGCAAATGCTCTGTTTATGATAAACAGTATTAAATAACATTTTACCGGCCTGAATGTCTGAGAAATTTTCATAGAAAATATTCGTTCATAGACAGGATTCGAACCTGCATCCTATACGGAACCGTCATATACGCTGACGTGCCTTTGACCACTCGGCCACCATGAACCTTATGGTAGACAAGGTCGAATTTACTGTTATAAACTACAATCTTTCCATGAATCTCGTACATTCATAACTGCTTGGCGTATCGAATGTAAACAAATGACGTCATATGTTAAGAAATGGACGAGGTCCGACAATTTATTTATTAAAGACATTTTTTATTTATGTTTAACGTTGTTATTTTATAGATACAAGTATTTAAGCAAATGCTCTGTTTATGATAAACAGTATTAAATAACATTTACTGGCCTGAATGTCCGAGAAATTTACTATAGAAAATATTCGTTCATAGACAGGACCGTCCATTTATTAATTTATTATATATATATATATATATATATATATATATATATATATATATTATATATTTTATTATAATAAATTACAATGAAGGACATTTTATATCGCTGCTTAAAAACTTTCATGTTTCAGTACTAAGATTGTATTTCGTCAGGCGATATTGGATTAGTACTGAAACGTGAAAGTTTTTGTGTAGCTATGTAAAATGTTTTCATTGTAATTTATTATAATAAAAATATTATAGTAATATTTGTCTCTACTTTAATAATAGACAAAAACGAGTAAAATAAATTAAACCAATCAAATAAATAAGTAAATAAACTTAGTAAATCATAAACAAATTAACAAACCACAAATATACACATAAACTAAATGTAATAATAACAACCTACAAAAAATACCTAAAAGTTAACAAACACTATAGATAGTCAAAAAATTGCATCCGGATCCACAATTATTCCCACTCAATAGTCCCTGGAATAATTCGAAACCACCGTTAGAATATTAGAATAGACGTATCACAATTCATCACTGACCTAAATCTCTGTGCAAATTAATTATACAGGACGATGTGGAGGGCCATGATCACATACATCACTGTGAAAATTTATTGAAACAAAACGAATAATTCCGTTATTATTTACTTTTTTCTTATTTTACCAATGAAACATGACCTAGTGCACATGTTAGTACTTCGTATGTCCATTCCAAGAAGTCTTCCTTGCAGTGTGACCACATTCTCGATTGGATTTAAATCAGGAGAGTTTCCGGACCAATCAATAGTACTTATTAATAAGGCGTATTAGTGTGTTTGTGCAGCGTTACAATTTTCGTGCGCTTACTTGGAGTAACGTCCATTTCAGAGAATGGCCGCAGGACAAATAATCGACAGTCGAGGCAATAGTGTCTGGGCGTGATGAAAATCTGAGTAATCACAGATGGCGCAATTGTTTTCAGGCCAAAACAATTTATCATACACCCCGAAAATAGTTTTATATTACTGCATACCACCGCAAATGACCTAATCTGAGGAAAAAATAAAAATTGGTTATGCCAGTTCACTGCAGTGGATTTAAAACTGACCGAATCGTGTAATAAAGAAAACTAGAGAAATTGCTTCAATTAATTTGCACAAGGATGTGTATATAAAAATAGTTGAGTAATATCAATGCATATGGTCCGTCGATTGCATTTAGCATAAAAAAAGACTCTTACATCTGGGTCGTATATATAGCACAAATTAAAATTATATTTTATTCATAGCTCTCGCTATCTTGCTATGTCTCTGTCTGTCTGTCTGTCTGTCTGTCTCTCTCTCTCTCTCTATATATATATATATATATATATATATATATATGTAAATATGCTACGTGTGTATTTTTGTATAAGTCTTTTACTTATAACATCGGGTTGACGGCTATAGAAAATCCATTGACTGCCTATAAATTGATTTATTTTCTCTTCGTCCACGAATATAAAGTTACCAGATACAGATCGCGAAATGTCACTACGGGAGATGTGCTGTTGTTTAATAGTCCTATTGGACGTCGCTTTGAGGTAATGGCTTCTGGTAGCTAAACAGTGAAGCACCCCCGGGGCTTGAAGTTGATTCTCCACTTTGAAGGGAAAAGAGACCCGCTTCCTGTCAACAGACACGTTTACTTTAATATATTTCCATTTTCTAGGCCGCCAGGTATTAATTGCCATTTTCCTTTCCCCTTCCTTCCTTCCTGCCTTTCCTTCCTTCCCGCCTTCCTTCCTTCCTTCTTTCCTTCCTTCCTGCCTTTCCTTCCTTCCTTCCTTCCTGCCTTTCCTTCCTTCCTTCCTTCCTTCCTTCCTTCATTCCACCCTTCCTTCCTTCCTTCTTTCTTTCCTTCCTTCCTTCCACCCTTCATTCCTTCCTTCCACCCTTCCTTCCTTCTTTCTTTCTTTCCTTCCTTCCTTCCTTCCTTCCTTCCTTCCACCTTTCCTTCCTTCCTTCCTTCCTTCCTTCCTTCCTTCCTTCCTTCCTTCCTTCCTGCCTTTCCTTCCTTCCTTCCTCCCACCTACCCGTCCTTCTTTCCTTCCTATCACCCTTCTTTCCTTCCACCCTCCATTCCGTCTTTCCTTCCTTCCTCCCTCCCTTCATTCCTTTCTACCCTCCACCCTTCCTTCCTTCCACCCTTCCTTCCTTTCCTTTCTTCCTTTATTCCTTCCTTCTTTTTCACCTTTCCTTCCTCCCTCCCTCCCTCCATTCTTTCCTTCCTTCCACCCTTCCTTTCTTGCTTCTTTCCTTTCTTCCACACTTCCTTCCTTCCACACTTCCTTCCTTCTACCCACCTTCCTTTCTTCCTTCCTTTCTTCCATCCCTTCCTTCCTTATTTTATTCCTTCATTCCTCACTTCCTTGCTTATTTCATTCCTTCCTTCCTCCCTCCCTTCCTTGCTGATTTCCTTCCTTCCTCCTTCCCTCCTTCCTTCCTTGATTTGTCTATGCTGTATTCGCATTTTTCATTCACTGCATACTTAAATATGGATGAAATGAACCAATGTCCAGAAGGAGATTCAGTTTCCATTGTCTTTTTTTTTATTAGGTCGATAGATACGCACTGAGCACGTAACATTGATTAAAAAAAAAACAGATATCGAACTATAACCAACCTGACGTTCATGTCGAATTCCGTAAACTAACAATATATACATATATATATATATATATATATATATATATATATATATATATATATATATATATATATATATGCATATAATTATAGATAACTAGGACTCGTTTTGAAAAACCCTCGAATTTTTGATTTGCTAATCAAATCAATCTCGAGGGAAAAAAGGTTTTCAAAAAAGAAAGAGCTACAAACATGAACTTCTGTTGACAAAAAAAATCGCACAGATGCAGGTCTGAAGCCCAAAGAAAAAACCTGATACGAGTAACAACTAACTAACAAAAAGAGCTCAATACAACCGTAGAGCAGACCTACATACACCTAGTGAGTTAGTTTTAGGTTTCACCTAAACGGATCGTCAGGGAAAGTAAGCCGATCCGTTTAGGTGAAACCTAGGTAGGTTTGTCTGGCTGCTAGGTGTATCTATATATATATATATATATATATATATATATATATATATATTCAAGCAAAAAGTGTATATGACCGTGAAATTGTAATACCAAAATATAACTACAATCAAAACATTTAAACCGGTTTATCGGTCCACATTGTTGCAACGTATCACATACAAAAAGAAACAATTTATTGCAAAACTGAGGGATAATAATATATATATATATATATATATATATATATATATATATATTAAAGTAAATTAGTCATACGCAAATACAAGATTAAAACAACGAAACGTAAGATTGGTGGATAATTCTATTAACAAATACACACACGTTATATATATATATATATATATATATATATATATATGTATATATACAATTATATATATATATATATATATATATATATATATATACAATACAATAGATAGATAGATAGATAGATAGATAGATAGATAGATAGATAGATAGTTTATTGATTGACAGATAAAGAGGATAATAATCTTACAAATATAAGCAGCTATAATAGTCCAGCAAAACCTTAGGTGTTTACGCGTGTAAATGAGCAAACTAATACCAAAGGGTAAAAAGAATGGTAAAAAAAAGAAAGAACTAAGAACATGTACTTCCGGCGAAAATAATCTTCTAGAATCTAAGTTGAGAGAACAAAGAAAAAAAACCTCCAACACGAGTGAAGTAAAAATAACTAAACAAACTGTCTGGCTCTTTAGGTTTAAGATTGGTCCGAGAAATGGTGACAAGACCGGAAACACGTGTAGCAAAATTATGGGGAAAAAAGCATAATATTAAAAAAAAAAGAACAACTCCACATTACAAGCAAAAACGTTTGAGGTTTCTCTCTTCTTTTTAATATAAACACTTTTCTGTCGTTAGAACTACTATAAAGTCTTCCTTTTTTATATATATATATATATATATATATATATATATATATATATATATATATATATATATATATTATAGTTTTTATTATAATACATTGCAATAAAGAACATTTTACATCGTTATGTAAACTTTTCATGTTTCAGTACTAAGTTTGTACATCGTCAGGTGATGTTGTATTAGTACTGAAACATGAAAGTCTTTCTGTAGTGATGTACAATATTTCTCATTGTAATTTATTATAATAAAATATTATAAATATAATAAAATAAAATAAAATATAATAAAATAATATAATAAAATAATATAATAAAAATATAATAAAAATATTAAAAATTTATTATAATAAAAATATTATAATAATATTTGGCTATACTTTATATTTAGCGCTTTTTTAAAAAGTAAATTCTACGAACTGTGCATTCTTACACCAACTGTTCTTTATCTCATTTGTACATATCTATCTATCTATCTGTATATATATATATATATAGATAGATAGATAGATAGATAGATAGATAGATAGATAGATAGATAGATAGATGACCTCACCAAATAAGAGAAAATATATATTATCGTAAAATAGCAAAAACTGAAATATAACGGCAATTAAAACATTTAAACTGGTTTATCGCTCTTCTCTCAGAGCCATATATCAAGTAAAAAAAGAAACAATTCTTAACCAAAATTAAGCAAAAATATCTTGAAATATTAAAGATTAAATGTATTCAATAAAATCGCCATTGACTTCAACCACGACCTCCAGACGATTTCGGAATTTCCTACAACTCTTCCGACCGGTCTCTTTATTTAAGTTGGTCACTGCTGCCATAATACTTTGCCTTTACTTCATCATTAGTGTTACTAGGGGTTTTATTATTCTCTCGCTCAAATGCGCCTCGCACTTAATAATCAAGGGAGTTGTAGTCTCGGGAGTTAGGTGGCCAGATGTAAGGGGTGATGTGCTCACAAAAAATTTCTGACATCCATGACTGGATACTCCTGACATGGTGCAGAATCTACCTCCTCAAATCATGATGCAAGCCTCCGAGTTGAGACTGAGGCCCTCATCAACAAATTCGGGATTTCTTTACTCATCAGAACGATCAAAGAGAGTTTGCCGACCTGCGATAATTTTGTAATCGCCATTTCACTCATAGAACTCTTTCCGAATTCTCTGCACTGTTCTCAGATTCAAACCCAAACACTCTGAAATGTTCATATTGAAGCTTCCGGCGTGAATGCCAAAAAGTACAGCATACCTTTTCCAAATTTCTGCGGAGCAAATTGTGTCATGGGTCTCTTTTTCTCACAGACGGTGCCAAAGTGTCCCTATTATACAGTACATTCAACAAACTCAAGAAAAAATGTGCATGAGTAAAATAAAAAATGGCGACAATTACACATCGCACCCTATGTGTGTTTATATATATATATATATATATATATATATATATATATTAAAAATATGTTGTTAAATATACTAGACAATGAATGTCAATTATGCCGGATCAGGAGCCGTTTTAAACTTCGTATATTTGCTTTAATTTCACGTGAAAATAAACACAAAAATTGTCCGACAATTGGATATTTTTTTATTAAGTTAGCCCTTGATCTAAGCTTTCGGCTCCCATGAGCCATCTTCAGAGTGGTTATACAGACATTTAAACAAAGATATTAACTATCGAAGATGATATTTTTTATGACATAAAAGATTGGTATGCGAAGATAGCATAGGGTGCGATGTGTAAATTGTCACCATTTTATATATCAGATATATATATGTGTGTGTGTGTGCGCGTGCGTGTGTGTGTGTGCGTGTAATATAGGCATGGGAAATGTTCTTTTTAATTTCTGAATACGTCAACTGTTCAACGGTAGAAATGAATATATATATATACAAATGCAAGAAAAAGATAATAAAAGCTTAATAAATAAACAATAATTATATTACATAAGAGTTCTTATGTTTCAAAAACAGAAGTTAAAAAATCAGCACTTTTCATCCTCAAGCGAATTTTGGAATAACTAATCTTGAAATTTACGGAACTTTATAAGCATATACATTCGTAATGTTATTTAATTACATAGAAACCAATTATTGTAGTAAGGGGCGTAATGGTAAACATATTGTATCAAATTTAAGCCCTACTTATTTATTGAGATGAGTTTTTTGGGTTTTTTTTAAATAAAAAAAAAATACGAAAGAACTTTGGATTATTAACCTAACGGTTCTTTCTTATTTTTCTATATATTTGCACAGACACACACACACATATATATATATATTTTTTTTTGAGACATTTTTATGTTTATACGTTCTTTTTATAAATGTCTTAAAAATAATTGTCGGACTTTGTCCATTTCAAAATGTATGCATATATATATATGAACATTAATATTAGTCGGCAAACTGAACACAAGCACACACCACACTCACTCATACACACAAACATATATTTAATTAAGATATATTTTATAGAAATGTACTTATATATTTATATTTATATATATATATATATATATATATATATATATATATATATATATGTATGTATGTATGTATGTATGTATGTATAAATAAAAAGAAAGAACAGTAAGATATATAATCCGGTGTTATAGATATTTTATTTTAAAAAATAGTGCTCAATGTAAATTTACAGAGCACTATTTTTCCATTTTTCAAACATGGTTAGAACTGTGTAGCGAAAAACATATTTTAAATCAATTAATATATATATATATATATATATATATATATATATATATATATATATATATAAATTTCAGTCATAAATATTTATATATCAAAATATTAAAATAACGTATATATATATATATATATATATATATATGTATAAGTGAATATCGAAGTCAGCACTCAGATGCAACAGGTTGTTTCATGTTATGCTAGACGCAATCATCAAGCTTTTATGATTGCGTTTAGCATGAAAAAAAATCTGTCGGCTGAGTGTTGACTTCAATGTTCACTTTTATATTTACATAGGCTGTATCTCTGATATTTAGCACTTAATCCCATAAAAATAGCATGCCATAAAACTATATTTCTTCATAAATATCTGTGTGTGTGCGTGTGTGTGTATTGTGTGAAAACAACTATTTATATTACATAGTTCTCTATCTGTATCTAACTTTGGCTTTAGTTCGCTGAAAATACTCATAACTTCTCCGTTTCTTGAACTGATTGATAAGCGTTTTCAGTCATGATGAAGTTTAGCCAAAATCATCAATGAAAGTGAGATCTGTTTTTTTCCAGAGAGAGAGAGACAGAGAGAGAGAGACAGAGAGAGCACGATAACGAAAATGTGAAAAAGCATATACAATCCAGCGAAATAATGATAATTTCATCTTTCCCGAGGTCCCGATTCGTCCATCTGTTAAGAGGAATTATAGCAAAAGTAAAAACGGCCAATCAGCAAAGAGCAATCTGTTCTTTGAAGC